TATATATATATATGACATTCTGATATGCGGTGGGAATATGTCGAACCTCAGCACTTACCGCCCCTAGCGAGAGACCGTTAACCCGTGAGGCTTTGAATATGGCAAGCCTGATAACATGCGCATAAACTTCACAAGCCAAAACATAAACCTAAAGGCTAAAACCCTTAAGCCTTAAGCCGCACGCCTTATCCTTATCGGTACCCGAACCCTAGAACACTAGACCAGAAAGCCAGGCCCTAAACCCTGGGCCCTAGAACCTTACAGCCCTAGACTTAAACCATATCAGGTTTGAGTCTTGTCCATATTAGCTTGCATGACTTCAATAAGGACTCATCTTATCCTATTGCCACGCCGAAAACCTAGGTCCTAAAAGACTGACCCACATGACCAGTGCTCTACAAGTCACAGCAAAGGCTCACACTCGGACCGAAGATGGCCGATGGTGACTGTCTCAACGGCATTCATGAACTCATCCTTGGCTGCGTCCAGCTCCTTCTGCAACTGCTCCCCAACTTCAACCATACTCTTCTGGGCATCGGCTTTCTTCGACTTCAAGTCCTGACAGAGCGTCGCAACCGCCTGGTACTTGGCCAGGGCAGGCTCACAGAGCTCTTGTAGAAACATCTCACGTGGGCTCTGGCCCTTCAAGTCGCAAGTAGCCTGCCGAAACTCCTTCAGAGCTGCTTGGGCTTCCTTCGCCTTTCCACTGGCGACAACCCGGCTCGAAGCCGCATCCAAAAGGACCTTGCCGGTGGCGTGCTGCGCAAAGAAGCGAGCAAGGGCTGACAGATCATGCGCGGAATCTTCCTGGGCATCTTCCGAGTTCTCTTTGTTCTCCAGATGGGCTTGCGCCTCCTGCAGACTTAGGACAGCCGTGCTGAGGAGGGTCAAGTCCTTGCTGCCTAAGGTGAGAATGGAGTGGACCATCCGGACATCCACACAGAGCTCCTGGAGGATGAAGTTGTCGCCTTCATTTTGCTCAGTTGCCAGCATGGACTCGCACAAAGCCGACGCGTCCAGCAGCGAACCTTCGAGCCTGTTTGAGCCGAAAGCCCTCAGCTCTTGGGGCGAGACTAATCGCATAAGCAGGATCAAGCGGTTCTCACACTCCGCAGTGACGTGTTGCTGCAGCTTGTCCCGGCCCAAGGCCTGTGAGAGGCTCTCCATCTGGTCCAACTTGTCGCGCTTCCACAACAACATTGCGCAGAACTTGTCATACTCTTGGTACAGACAGCACAAGTTGCCCTTTGCCAAGACGTACTTCAAGCTGAAGACTGGGCCCAAGGCCTTCGCCGGCTTGAACAACGAGTTCTGACAAGCCTCAAAACTCGCCTCATAGGCCTCAACCATCTTCTCCGCATCTGGTGGGTCTGCACCAGCAACACCCAGCAAGGACTCAAAGGTCTGCGCGGTTGTTGAAACCTGGATCTGTGGAGGAAAGGAAAAAGCGAGATAATAAGCAATAGTCACCACAATAGTCAATAGTCACAATAGTCACTCAAACAATTATCATACGGCATACATTATCATACCCAAAATTTCATATGCCATGATGAAGGAGATCCTTAGTTTAACAGTTTATCAACATGTATATTAAATTTGTGCTGACTAATAGTTCCCAACAGAATTTGGAATACGACTTTTGTTACTAATTAGGGGTTATATTTTCTAATCCTTGAACTAGGTAACCGTGAGAAGTAGTTAACTTATCTTTTAGTAAACCTTATTAACCTTATTAATTCCAATGTCTAGGGCAAAGCCACAAAGACTCAAGATTGACCTAGAAACAAGCTCAAGTCGTTGCAGTGGGTCACTGAAAGAGTCTTTGTTTGCACTCTTGTCCATGCGGCGCATGTGATCCTTGCACTGCCGGCAGATCAGCTTGCACTGGGTAACTCGTTTGGCCAAGCTGGCCTTCCAATCTGCCCGTTCATGTGCAGCTGGCACGACGTCGGAAAGGTCCATCTTCTCCAACATCCCGCTGCACTCGTCAGCCTTCTCCGTCATGGAGTTGTACGCCCGCTTGGCCCGACCATCAACCAAGAGCATCTCGCCTGTCTTGGCCGGCGAGGCTCCACTGTCGGAACCCTTCTCTGAAGGTGCAACAAGCGAAAACATGGCTCCCATTCCGGCCTCTTGATTTGGCTTTGACGATGCCGGCGAGGTCTTGGCTGCCCTGGGTGTTGTGTTGACTGTCGTGACTTTCCTAGGCTCTTGGGCCTTCGCCTTGCCCGCGGCCACTGGGATGGCCTTCTTCTTGTTGCCCTTGGCCTCAGCCTTGTCTGGGGCTGCAGCTGGAGCAGCCTTGGCTGTGGCCACGACCTTGCCGAACATCTTGTGCGCGGCCGACACCCCGACCTCTTCCTCAGAAGAGCTCTCAAGAGCAGCGTCGTTGCTGGCACCCGGAGCTGGGTCCTCGTCGTCGTCGGGGCACACAGTACGCTTCGCATCCTGGCAACATGAAACAAAGCCGTTAAGCCGTTAAGCAACAAAGCAGCAAGTGCGCCCACTGGTTCAAGCTACATCCTAGAGTCCCAGAGCAAACTCATGGCAGCCTTAAGTCTTATAAGCGCCTAAGCAATATAAATCTTAGAAGCCCACGTTTTTAGATACTGACTCTATCGACTATTGACTATTGACTATTGACTAGACTCCACTACTACACCCGCCTATAATAAGGCCTATAGTCTATAGTCCTATAGCACTATGAGTCAAGTCCTCTAAGCCTCTAAGCCTTTAAGCCTCTAAGCTCTGAGTCTAAATACTTATAAATAAAGACTTATACATACAAGTCTATAAGATAAGCATAGAAGTCTGTCTATAGGAGTCTAAAAGCTCTATAAGATAAGGCCTGAGCTGCACCTACGAAGGCCCGAGGCCCTGGGCCCTAACCCTCACTATCAGACATAAGCTACCATATCAATCGACTCTGTTGCTAGCTCCTATACTACTCA